TTTGCAAGATTAATTATCCTACATCACAGCTCTTATCATTTCCCTTGAATGCTTAAAAGCTGAAGTTTTAATTAATTCCATTTCTAATGAATGAAGTTTAGTCTTCTGGGCCTGACAAGCAAGGCCATTCATAAAAACATGTCTCCAGGACAACCTTCAGGATAGATTTCTCATTGACGCCTCTAGAAGTATTCTAAGCTCCAACCAAACTACAGCATTCCCTAGTCCTTAACTATGCTTTAGCGTAGCATTTCTGAAAGTTCAGTACAAAACTGCTCAGAACCACTTGGAGCTCCTTCCTAGAAGCTCTCTTTTTAGTAGCATCCTGTGTACTTAACACCTTTTTGTCCTTACCTTTGGTACCTTGTTGACAACTTTATGACCACAGTAAAGGGCCCATTCAACTTCTGGTTACTTATGTAACCCCAGGGTGCTTATAAAGACTAATATTATGAAAATATAAAATGACTGGCACAGTGCTTGACCCAGTAAGTGCCTAACAAAAGGGAGCTATTGACAGTACTTGCCCCACCTACCTTAGAGTCTTTTTTGTAGTATTCAAGCAAATAAAGATTGTGATAGCACCTCTGAACTTTTCTTATGCCTTCTATTAGACTATAAGCTTTTGAGGGGGGGCAAGTACTATAGATTACTAACTTGCAAAATATGATCCAGTGTTTTGACATGTTAGTTGAATTAATGGTATGGTACTTAATTTTTTTTTTTTTTAATGTGGAAAAATTTAAATTCAGAGCCCTGAAACATCATTTTAAGGAGCCCTGGTGGCACACTGTTTAAGCGCCCACCTATAAACCAAAAGGTCAGTGGTTCAAACCCACCAGCTGCTCCTCGGGAGAAAGATGTGGCAGTCTGCTTCTGTAAATATTACAGCCTTGGAAACCCTATGGGGCAGTTCTATTCTGCCCTATAGGGTTGCTATGAGTCACAATCGACCCAACAGCAATGGGTCTAAACATCATTTCTAAAAACACCATTCTTTATGACCTCCCAGAGTAATCCCCAGAGACACCTTTCTGCTCCTCTGGGGGCCCCTGAAACCTGCAGGGTCAGGTCCTTCAAGCATCCAGGTTCTCTCTTCCCCTGGGTGTAGGCAGTCCAGCCCTTTTGCACATGCTCGAAGACCTTAGAGAGTAGGGGAGCTCTAGCTGAATATTTTAGATACAGTATTAAGTCAATCTTAGTGATTCTTCATCTCCAGTCCTGTGTACCAACTCTTAATTCTTAGAGGTGGGATTTTTGTCCTGTTACTAAGATGCAATACTCACGTAGTGACCCAGTGTAGGTTAACAGATTGTATCTTGTTTCCTGTGCCTGGGTCCCTGTCTTGATGACCTGCTAATACCCTAGTACTTTTATGATTATGTGTATCCTGTCCTCCCATCCTTCAAGTATCTTTACAACTAAAGCCTCGTCCATCAACTCCTTACTGACACATTCGCTGGTGCTAACTGCCTGCCAATGAATTCCCAAGGATTCCTCCATTGTGCTTTATCCACCTATGGGGGCCCCACCCCTCCTGGTAGATGGTTGACACCAGGTATTTGCTGCAGCCAAACACGGGGAATACTTTTTGTAGCCCTTACACGGGACCTCTGCCTGATCCACTGGTGGTCCTCAAGCCCTCTCAGTTTTCACTACCCTTTGCAGTTAGCAGCCCCTGGCCACCACTGCTCTCTCCGGCAGTGCTCACCTGGCTGATGGTGCTCATGGCTCGCATGTAGCTCTCATTCCTGGAGCGGAACTTGGGTGAGGTGAGCAGGCCTGCAGGGTCCAGGCTGTCCAGGCTCCGGTTGATGGACACTTCACTGACTGCCCTCAGGTAACTGTGGCTCCGGATCTGGAGTTTGGGTGAGTGTTCATTGGAAATCCTGGAAGAGAACAATGGGAAGGATGCATGTAGCCATGTCCCAAAATGTAGGTAGTGATAAGATGTGGCAGTTTTATCACTTACGTGGCCCCCTAAGTACTGGGGCAGACAATATAGATGCCCTTCCAGGATTGCTGAATTCCCCTAGGGTGTCTCAGAGGGAAATCATCAAGATCTGATGGCTTTAGAGAGCAGTTAAAATTCTCTTCCACCCATGGAATTATATTCCCCCATTCTCACTTTCCCTGGCATCTAAGGAGGGAGATAATAGCAGCAACTACTCTACTTCAGAATTCTGCCTTGTGCAATTAATTTATAAGCTTTTCTTTTGCACGCATTTCTTTCCTATGGCCGTCTTCTTGTATTTAGACTTTCTAATAATGACAAGTGGGTATATATCTCTGTCTGCCTTTCTATCTATCTAATCTTTAACTGTCTCATTTATTTGAAATTGAATTTAGCGAACAAAACTTACAATTTAGCCATTAAAAATGCACACATCTCTAAATCCTTATAAATAAAAACAAGTCTTTATATACTCGCTACTATTTGGAGTTTTTCCAAAATGCATTTAAAATTATAAAAGTAGGAAATTCTCATTGTGAAAAGCCAACCTATTCAGAGTGTATACGACAGAGAGTGGGTGTCCCTCTCCAGCCCTGATCTTGCCTCCATAGTTCCACATCCCTAAAGAAGTACTCATGGCAGTTTGGTGTAGATTCTTCCTCAGCCTTTCTATACATCTATAAACAAATAAACACCCGAATCTATTGCCGTTGAGTCTATTTTGACTCATGGCAACCCCATGTATTACAGAGTAGAACTGAATTCCACAGGGTTTTCTTGGCTGTAATCTTTATGGAAGTAGATTGCCAGGCCTTTCTTCCATGGTGCAGCT